AAAAAAAAAAAAAAAAAACCCAAACAAAGATCTGTTCAACTTTGTTTCTTTTCTTCTTTTTTTTCTGGGATCAAGCAACCTGAATGTGTGTGTGTTAATGTTGAAAGACATTTTTATTATTATGTGTTCAATTTTTAGAAGTTTCAAATGGCTTTGGAGACAAGAGCAAGGAAAAAAACATTTCTGCAAAGATCCCAATCACAGGTAAAGCTCTGGGTGCCTAAGAGTTTCAAGGGAGGATTCAGCCTTATATTATATACTAAGAACTCTCTAGGTCAGTGGTTTGTGGACCCTGCTAAGAGCAAGTGTTCAGCTATCTACATGCTGAAAAGTAGGAGATTCATCATAAGGGCAGAACACGCACACTTACATTAACATAAGCTGCGGTGGGAAATAATCATATCTATTGAATTTTTCACCATGGTGTTACACGTTTACACTGCCAGCATCCTTGACCCTTTCTGTGCCTGTGTCTGTGTGAAAATGTCCATCTCCCAGAGGAATGCCTGGTCACTATGTGGCAAACTGTGGATGTTTCTGATTTTACTCTTCTCTTTCCTATAGTAACTGAACATGGATCCTTAAAATAACAGCAGGGAAAAATGTGTCAGCTGTTTGTACATCTGACAGGAGGCTTGTTTGTACCCCAGTTACCAAGCCTGATAATTTAAAAATTATACCAATCAGGCTTCCATCAAGACATATTAAGGTTTCTACACATATATTAGGCTTATTTAAATAGAATCTAATGATATACCGTTATATTCTTTAGTTTTAACATAGCAATAGAAAAACATTTAGTATGCTAAACAGAGTTCTATTAGTCATACATCTAAATTTACTAGTATCCTACTTTGTAAAGTGGTGTACTGCTTCATTATAAATTCAAAGATGTGACTTTAAACATTTATACAAGTTAAGTGCACCATTGCACCAAGGTACTGAGGCATATATCTGCATATGTGGTACTCTTGTTTTTGTTTATAAGCAGAAAAGAATGGCTTGTTGTTGTGGCAACACAATTCATGATGTGATGATTAATTTTTTAAATTCATGTTTCTATGATGAACTCTAGTTGTGGAGAAGGAGTTTATTATTGTAGAGCAATTATTGTATATATTATATCAGTTGATATTTCACTCAAAAATGCAGATTTTAAGAGATTATTTCTTTTTTAAAAATTTTTCTTTTTTTTATTGTTGATTTTTTTTTTTTGAGACAGAGTTTCACTATGGCATCTTCGATAGAGTGCTGTGGCGTCATAGCTCACAGCAACCTCAAACTCTTGGGCTTAAGCAATTCTCTTGTCTCAGCCTCTTAACTAGCTGGGACTACAGGCGCCCACCACAACACCTGGGTATTTTGTTGTTGTTGTTGTTACTATTGTCATTGTTGTTTAGCAGGCCCAGCCAAGTTCAAACCTACCAACCCCAGTGCATGTGCCTTGCACCCTAACCACTGAGCTACAGGCACCAAGCCCCAAAGATTTTTTTCCCAGTAGTATGTTGATTGTGCTTTTATTCTTCATTTTAAGAAAATGATGATATGACTGTCTGCTGATTATTTTTATTAATAGAAATGTAGATAACTCTCAGCTATGGATAGCTAAGAAGTCATTTGGGTGCTTCTTCCCTTCATTTAATTTTTTAAATTTAATTTATTTTGATACATAATAATAGATATTCTTGTTATCAGAGTACATGATGTATATATTATCTTATATACAGATTATTGTGTATCTAATATTATCTTACATTAGATTATTGTATATCTAATTTAATGCAATCATATTTTCTAAAGATTTCATTTGGTAATCAGTGTAATCAGGATATCTATCACCTTAAATATTTATCTTTTATTAATGTTTTAAAACATTTGAATTATTTTCTTCCAACTATTTTGAAATATACAATAGATTATTGTAAACTGTGTCATGCTACCAACCTATCAAACACTAGGTTTTATTTCTTCTATCAAACTGTTTATTTGTACCCATTAAAAATACAGAAGTATCCAATGGCCTCTGAATTTATTTCTGTCGGTATTATGAAGGCTTATTGAAGAAAAACCAGAAAATGACTTATTCTCTTTTCAGTATTCTTTCTAATCATCCCTTGCTGGAGTAACTAACATTCCCCAAAATTAATGCAAATGTTATATTTTATAAACTTTCTTGACAATGGAAGTATTGGAGTTTCAAATCTTTCTTCAAGCAGAAAGAAGTGCACTGTGCTTAGAAGTAATCAAGACTATCTGCCATCAAGATTTGAAGAGAAATTAGGCCAGTCGCATGGCTCGCTCCTATAATCCTAGCATCATGGGAGGCCAAGGCAGAAGGAGTGTTCTGAGCTCGTAGGTTTGAGACCAACCTGAGCAAGAACGAGATTCTGTCTCTAAAAATAGCCAGGCATTGTGGTGAGCACCTGTAATCCCAGTTACTTTGGAGGCTGAGGCAAGAGAATTGCTTCAGCCCAAGAGTGGGAGTTTGCTGTGAGCTGTGATGCTACAGCACTCTACCAAGGGCAACAAAGTGAGACTGTCTTAAAAAAAAAAAAAAGATTTTTAAAAGAAATTTAATTCTAAAAACCTGCTACCAAACTATAAATAGTTGACAGGATTGGGGGGGGGG